CGAGCTCCTGCCCCTCGCGTCGGGGGCCGGCGGAGGAGCCCAAAACGGCAGGAGGAGGTGGCCGTCGGCTCTGGTCTTCGGCAGAGAGGAGCGGACGAACAAAACCCTCCGAGGGGGCGGGCGCCCAGCTGGGGACGGTAAGGGACTTTTGGGAAAGTGGCCACTGTGAAAGCGTTTTTTCCCGTTGCCCGGTTTGAACAGGCTTCCCTTTCCCGAGATGGGTGCAGGAAAAGGACACCAGGGTTTATAATGTGAACTGTAACAGTCTACTGGTTTCTTTTGTAATATTTTTTTTAACTGCAGTTTTAACTTGCAGAATGCCACAGTCTATGATAGTTCTGATTTTAAATCCGCAGCTAGAATCTGTATTTAATTTCATCTTTTTTAACCTCCTGCTTTTTTGATCTCTATTTATTGATGCGTGTCACAGTTGCCATTATGTTTTTACATTGGTAGAATATTAATAAAATACACATCAGAGTGCTATCGACAGTAATTTGTACCTGCTGACTTGTAGACAGGCTGGCTATATATGAGTGTGTGTGTATGTATATTATATAAATATATACATGTATACATAGATACAATATTGCTTTTTTATTTTTGTCTACGATCTCGAAACAGTCTGATTGAAGCATGAGATGAGTGTTTGTTCTAGTCCATCTGTTTAGGGTTTGAGGTTTTTCCCCCTGTAGCGGTGAGTGGTGCAAGAGTCAAAGTCTGTGTTTCCGAAGTTAAAAGCAATATTCCTTGGGGAAGGGTCAGGTGAGGGACAGGATGCAGCTGCGATAGAGAAATAGCCTTTTGAGACCTGATCTTGTCCTGTACTTGAGGTCGGTGTCCGCTTGGGCCTTATACTCATTCGGAGAAACCTTAGTCACCTTGGTGCTTATGAGCTGTTATTTGACCTGTGGCTCTTTGAGGCAATCAGTTGGTTTTTTGACACGTACAGACCTTTGCGCAGCCCACGAGGAGCCAGCAGTAGCAGCTTGAGCAGACTCAGCCGCTGCAGGGCAGCAGGGGTTTCGTTCGTGAGCTCCGTACGTTTCCCCTTGTACAGCTTCCCCGCTTCGTGTGGGATTTCGAAACTGTCTCTTAGCAGCCCCACAGCAGATAAAAGCCTTGCCCTCTCCGTCCAGCCAGATGAACGGTGCGTTTTGGGGAGGGAGGAGCTGTGCCAAGAGGTGAGCGAAACCCTAGCGTGAAACTCAAAAACCCTTCCTTGCCCCCCTCACCAACCTGCTGTTGGACGAAAGGAAAGGGTTTCGAAGCAACTGTACTTCAGTTGTGGCTGCTTATGAAGGAAAACACACCTACGTTTAAAAACTGACGGCTTTCAAAATCCCGATACGCGCCCCAGTCCAAAGGGCTGAGGAGCCCCTTAAGGCAGGAAGGAGCTGTGGGCTAGCTCGTGTCCTGCACGGTAAGTCCCGGGGCTTGGTGGACCCAGTGATCCAAACGGGTTTGGGAGGCTCAAACCGTAGGAATGGATCCGCTTTACAGGCACGACTGCTGAAGCGTTGGCCGTGGACGCTCTTATTCGGAGGCAGTAAATCACCAAGTCTTTAAAAAAAAAAAACAAAAAGCAAAATAAGAAAGGAAAAAATTGCTGCTTGTTCTAGGAAATGTGGCTTTTTTCTCTTTACCTTTTCATTTAAGACTGGTGGAGGAGAGTTAAGAGCTTTTTCTCTCTAGTTTTGTGGATGTGCAGGCGTCTGTGTGTCTCGTGTGTGTGTTAGGTGGGAGGGGAGGGTCGGGGGGGCCCTGGTGGTTTTGTTTTATTTTATTTTTTTCAAGGATCATGGCAGGATCACAAACTCTTTTATACAAGTTAGATCCAGGTCTTTGAATAACCTTTTTTTGTAAATAAGGAAAAAAAAACAACAAAAAAAACAAAGCTCCTCACCAAATTCAAGCTTGTACATTATTATTTTTGGTTGTTTTTAAATTTTGAGTTTTATTGTTTTGTATGTAAATATGTGGACCCAGGAACTGTTATTAATGAGCAAAAAGTTACCGTTCAGGGCAGTGATTCTGTTTAATAATCAGACAAAATGTAGACGAGCTTTTTAAAGCCATATAGTTTTAACTCTGTACAGTAGGTACCGGCCTGTATTATTGTAACAATAACTCTAGCGATGTATAGTGTATCTATATAGTTTGGAGTGCCTTCGCTTCCATGATTTTTTGGATTTTATTTCCCTTTTTTGTTTTTTTCCCCCCTCCTTTATTAACGAAGTCCCCCACACGAAACCGCATCTTTGCTCCCCTGCTTTCTAACTCTTTGAGTGCTGTAAGGTTTCAGTGATACCACGATCAGTAGTTGGAACGAAAGGAAACCACGTTTATAACTCATTTCATTCGAGCCGTGGCTTTGCTCTGGATGTCTCGAAGTTGCCCCGTCCTGCCCTGTTGTCCCCCCCGCTAGCAGTGCCCGGTCGCGTTTTACACTTGCCCTCCGTCGCAACGAGTAGCCCCGTGGCTAGCGGCGAGGTTCGACTTTGCTCGTCTGTCCCCAGTCCCTGCGCCCAGACGTCTGCCGGAGAGCAGCTTCCACCAGCCTCGGCTTTTCGCCGCTCCCTCCCTGCCGCGCCCGAGGGAGCGGACGGGGCTTCGCAAAACTTAAGGAAAAAAGGATCCCCTTTAGGAGGAAACCCTGCGTATTGTACAGTGATGGCTGTGCTCGAAGCTCTTTGGCTGCGGTGAGCTGGCACGAGGGGAGCGGGGGCATTACTGTAAAATAGCAGGGCGTTTTTTTCCCGACGAGGGGACGTCTCGTCCTCTTCGCCCTTTTCCCCCACGCTCCTCCCCGAAGTCATTTTTATTTTCTTAAGATGATAAGTTTAACATTACTCTTAATTTCTTGTGCCCAGCACGAAGGCCTTGTTTCTAAAACTAGTTTGCTTGTGTTTACTACCTTGTTAGTATTCCACATAAGATTGTCTTGAATGGGAAAACACTTAACTCTTTACCAAACCAAAGGTTGCTGTTTTATTTTGAAGCATCTCGTGTTCATTCCAGTGAAGCAGAGGCTGCACTTTCTTTCTGGTGACACGAAGGTCAGTGATGTCAAACTTTTTGACAGTCCACTCAGAACTGTTACTCTTTTATTTTACTCTCTTTGGGGCTTGTTTTTAATGAAGTATGGTCTTGATCTGTCATTGTATCCACTCTGCAATTGCATAGGTCTCTGAGGTGGGATCGGGTGCAATCTGTGTCCCCTATTGGACGTCCAGTCAAGACACTGATGTTCTTAATATTAAACTTATCTACCTTACTAGGAAAAAAAATGAACTACAAAGGAAAATTGGCTAATAGAAGATCCCTGGTTGCTTTTTCATGAATTTTGAAGCAAAGCTTCAGCTGAAGTACTGGCAGGTGCCTGCAACTTTTAACTCGTGATGACTTAAAATTTTCCCAGGCTTTCGGGACTTACTCCGAAAAATAAAAATAAAGCAGTCTGTCAACCTCTCCTGTATTAGGAATCTCAGCCACTGCAGTTAAAAAGAAAAAGCCAATAATGAAAAGCACAGTAGAGTATTCAGTCCAGGGCCTACCTTTTTGGAGACTATTGAAAAGGTATCCCTGGGGTTCCAGTTTATTTCCACAGGGCTTTTAGCCAGTTTTGTTCATAGTTCGTTTCGTTTTGCAACACTGCAATAACAGCAAAACGACAAGAAAGGAAAACAGTACCTAAGGGGTTAGCTTGAGAAAAGTAGCTTCCTTGTGTTGGTCTTTCTCTCTTTATTTTTAATATATATATATATAAAATATATTTATATATATATAATTTGCTTGCCTGTAAAATTTGCGTTCATTAATGTGTTGCTGATGGATCACTTGGCCCTGTACACACCAATTACCGTGACCAAAACCTGTATAACATTATTACTACTTGAATGCCTCTGTGACTGATTTTTTTTTCATTTTAAATATAAACTTTTTTTGTGGAAAGTATGCTTAATGTTTTATTATTTCCCCTGCCCCATTCCCCTTGTAAATATGTTTTGTTCTGTGTGACTCGGTTCGGAAATAGTTAACTGGTACTGTAATTTGCATTAAATAAAAAGTAGGTTAGCCTGGAAATGAAATTTAAAAATACAAAGTGTGTGGTCTTTATTTCAAAAACTTGCCCCTTTCTCTCCTCCTCCTGTCTTCCTTCTCCACCCCTCACTCCTCGCCCTCACACCTCTTTCCACTCCGCAAGAATAGGTGGACATGAATCTTTGTAATAATAATAATAATAAAAAAAACACACAAGAAATAAGCATGTTTTCTTAAATAAGCTGTGTTATTCCATGATATTTTTCCAAGAGATGCCAGCTTGTCTATGATACCGTTTGATTTGATGGAGAGAGGAACCCTGGGACATTATATTTCAAATCAAGCACAGCCAATCTTCCTTTACTGTCCACCTATAGATACAAACTTGAGAACCTGTGTAACCTGCTGGCTTTGAATACTGCACTTACTTTTTTTTTTTAATTTGATCCCATTAGTAATGTTATTTGGTGGTGATCTGTAAAGTTTGTCAAGACCACGTCCAGTGGACCGTTCCTCCAGCAAATCAGCACGTAGCTATCTGAGTTGGGTTTCCGGTACTGGATAATGTATGTATTAAACATGACA